GTATATAAATATATATAATGAAAAACAAAATATATTCATGTATATACATATAATATCTATTCTTTTATTCGTAAAATTACTGTTTGGTACAAGAAAATTAATAAAAAAAAACAAAAAAAAATATTAAAAGGATAATTTTTACATTATTTTCTTTACAAAAAATTAAGTTTGGAGAAATGAGAAAAAATTGCTGGTATTAATTATTGTAGAATTTACACATATATAATATGAGCAATTCCTTCTCATTTTTTCAAACAATTTTTTTATAAAAGAAGCAAAACGAAGCAACGAAAATTATCCGTTCGATTTTTTTTCTTTTCTCATTATTCTATTATTATTTTTCTTGTACCAAACAATAATTTTACTATTTGGTACAAGAAAAATAATGATAGAATAAATGAAAATTTTGCACTGAGAAATGCTACGCCTTTTAGTCTATTTGATCTTATATACTTATAATTATCTCTTATATATATTACATATATCAATAAGCTTCTATATCTTATTTATATTTTTAATTATCAATATTGAAGTCAGACATATTATAACAATCATAAAATTTTATTAATTTTTTCTGTATTGTGTATTATTTAATTTAAAATAATTTACATATTTTATTTAAACAACATTATCGGAAAAAATTCCACGATATCAATACGTAATAAATGATCTACAATCAGATTCTGAAACCGGTATGGCTGTACAATATTCAGCTTTGGGGCAGAGATAGTAATATTAAAATTTCTCATCCGGATGTTGCAGAATAACATGGTGAACGCCCTTGGTATATTCGCAAGTCAGATATTTATCGGGACTTCAGGATCGTAACGTGTTAAGAGATCAAGAGATACGCTGGGAAGCATGAGACCTGGATTCGTCATCATATGAACGTAGGCTCTTCAACTTTAGACAATCAACCATGTCCAAAGGCTGAAGAGAATCAAACCTTCTGATCTTATATAAAGCTGTGATAAAAGCAAGAGCACAGTGTAGGGGTGAGAGAATGTATCGTAGTTGGGAAAATCTAAAGGACATCAGTGGATAGTCTTTAATTAATAAGTATAATTAACATACTAGAGTAAAATTAATGGTTAGTCTACTAAACTATAGTTTTAATATTGCAAATATTAGCAAAAATAGTATATTATGTTACTTTATATTTGTCTACATGAAAGATTTGTTTAAATTTAACAATACAATAATTTTAATTAACAATACGTAAATAATAATTTCAACGTAATTATCTTAAAATATATGATACAACCTTGCTTTTAGTTGACATCGACTGCTACATTTTTCTCATATGTGACGTCAATTATCAGATTCAAATAATTATCTGCGATAAGAAACGTCTCGTCGGTACGCACGCAAAATACATATGCAATTTAGATAATAGGTGTGATAAAACGATATCGTCGCTGATAACATATGTCTGACAAAAATTCGGTGGAATCTTGCTAGAGATACGTTAATCCTAATACGAACGTAAATACGGAAATTCTCTTTTCATGAAAAGATGCCCTCCACATTTTGCTTTTGTATTTCCAGAATATATTTCGAATCTCCATTATCTCGGAACTCTTGAATGCAGAAAACTTTAAAGTATAGAATAGAATGGCACACATAAAAACAAGAATATTTTAAATTAGAAAAATATTTCAGACATTCTTTAAAAAATGGCAAAATGACGTATTTTATATAAGAATATTATATAGTTAGATAAATTATATTTTCTTCTCAAAATGTTTTCTTTGTAATTAATTTGTATCTGCACACTTTTGCCAGTAATTACCAAAACCACCCTGGAAGCCATTTTGTAAAAGATATTTTCAGCTCTAGTCGCTAAAAGCATTCTAGCAATGCATTCTAAATGAAGTCACGCCAGTTCCAAAAAATTGATTAAAGTTGTAAAATATTTCACGAAGCACAAATTTGTTCTATATTTTCACTTACGACGATAGAAATATTAATATCGATGTCGGCGAACTCATGAAATACGTCTGGCAAATTGCGATAATGCATATGGAATTATACAAATAAGATTTTGTTATCTTTGCGTCAACTTCTAATTCGTGCCCTAGTGACTCTCATATAGCTTTATTGCATTATTACGTCAACAGCAAGACGAAATAAATACATTTATAGATTGTAATACCAATTTTATTCCTGTTGAATTTAAATAGATATTTATGAGATATAGTATTAAAACATATGTAAACATTATATAATCAAATATAATTTAAAATATTAATACAATCAATAAAATATTTACAGTTCTTAAAAACTTACAAAATATCATAATATATACAATATATAAAATTAAAAAATTATTAATTTAAAAAATTATTAATTTAATGTCATCAATATTTGTATAACAGATGGATGTTCAATATCATATAATCTGCCTGTTAAAATACTAGCCTACAAAAAAATTGTTTAAACAGTTTTAACTATTTTTAATATATTTTTGCCCGCTAAATATAAATTCGTTTGAGCACATCATAATTTTGACAAAAAAATCGCATTAAGAAAAAAAAAAGACAATTTTGAGGGTTTTTATGACATGTTGTAGCATTGACAACAAATTTCTTTTCAAAATTATTAATGCCGCACAAAAAAGTATCAATTTTTAGTCTTAAAATGCATTTTGTTTCATTTCGAAATGATTTTTCGTTTCTTAAATATAGCAATTTTTAAATAGCCCTATTGTATTTTCTCAGTTTCATATTTTATTCCATAATTTTTAATATAATCTGATTATGCAAGTACAACATTATGTACAAAAGCAGTTACTTTTTATATAAATGCAGTGTTTATTTAGAAAAAAAAATTATTTTATAACATCTCATAAAAACTCTCAAAATCGTTGTTTTTGCTTCCTTAATTTTTTTATTTTCCTCACAATTATGAAAGTCAACTTTGAAAGATAGATGTATTCAGTATTTAAAAAAGCTACAGGAAACAATAAAGTTCATTCAAATATCAATTCAAATGTACAAATTTGCAGGCAAATTAGTGTATTAGCATATTATTTAGATTGTGCTGTATCGTATTATTATTAAATACAAAGTATAAATTTCCGCTATTCAAGCGAAAATGATAAGAAAAACTAAAAAGATTACTAAATGAAACTGAGATCATATATACGAGTTTCCTAATATCAATCGGAAATGTCTGAATATTGACACGCACATGATAATGCGGTTAATTGATTCTTATCGGTAAAAGAGACGATATCGCAAATGTCTAACAGTCACGCGCGTTCACGTGATGGAAATTTTCTGGAAACAAACCTAATTATCTAACGAAAATCCCTCCATGCAAAAAATAGAATATCTCATTACTGCTATCATACATATCTTGTTACAAGAGAGTTTTTTGTATCTTATTATCTTATTCAATTCTACAAATTACGTCTTTTGCAAAAAGCGATCTGCGTAAATTCGCATTAATTAGAGGATATATTTTCTTGTCATTTCTTCTTCCGTCATGCTCGACGTAAATACAAGAATTTTTTTTAATACAAATATCTACGATGGCAAACCTTTATTTCCTTAATTCTCATTACTGTTATATTTTGCAAGTTATCAAGTTTATAAATTCTCGACAAAAAATAATTATATAATAATTTTCAATGCACATATTAAATCAATTTATTCTATGATATTAATTCGTTCAACGTTACTGGCTTTTTTTAATCATATTTTATCTTTAATGCAGCACACAGAATGTCGTCCAGCATTCCAACACCGCATCAAGTATTAAAGATCATATATATATATGAAACAAATCTTCATTTTAACACTTCTACATTAATATTTGATGCATCTTATAAAAATGCATGTAATAATATCCGATAGAGTTTAAAACGTCAACAACTCGCGTGCTTAAATTGATCTTTTGAAATTTAAAAAAAAAACTGTATCTTTATAATTGTTCGTTGTTTTATGGAAATATAAGTCGAGCCTTATCGGCTCAACAAACCTATCAGGCATTTCATGTTCACGTGGGCCTACGTGTCCTTGAGCTGTATGCGCCTCTCAAGAAGGACGTAATACGTGCCTCAAGAATGACACGACGTCATCAGTTCTCATATCACACGGTGTACGTTCTTCCCCATCATTATCTTGATCACCTCGGACCGCGACCTTCCTCACAGAATTTAAGTATTATTTCTATGTATCTTCGTTTTCATATTTAAAAAATCCGTTCTTTCATTGAAAAATAGCCATACGATTTTTTTTCTTTTTTTAGAAAAGAAAACGTCAATTTTGCATCAAATTTCTTCTTGGATCCGTTTAAAATTTGCGCATAATTTTTTAGTTTGTTAACATCGAAAACATTACGAATAAACATTTTGCTAATTAATTATGACAAACAATAAAAGTCAAAGGATTTAATAATTTATGACTTTTGTATTTGTATAGGAAAATAATTTTTCTTTTAAGATAACAATTAAACTTTTGTTTAGAATAAAGATAAACTTATAATGGCTCAATAATATTAAATTCTGTTATTCATTTTTATTTAGAATTTAGAAATTATTGTTATCAATTTATATAT